CAGAACCGTATTGGTTAAAAATGTTGGAACATTGCCCAGGCACAGACAAACAGACATAACACTCGCAACTTGTTCATCGAACAAGCATTTAACGGACAATTTAAAAGTATCGTAGTTGGTAGTACCGCTACCTGTGGCGCGCATAGTCAATTCCCTTGCGTTTGACGTTTACACACTACCGCCATCTATTCAGTGTAGTGCCCACTACAGTGAACTCAACAGATGGCGGTAATGTTTTAGCGACGATGTTTTACAGTGAGAAATATTTAATGTGTTATGTCTGTTTGTCTGTGGCCCAGGTATACAAAATTTGACTTCATAAATGGTTACTATCCTGACCGATGGAAATGTGGAATCCTTAAAATTTAAACCGTTGTATCATGGATTTAGTGGAGTTGGAAACTCAAGAGTTTATAGACATGTTTTTGGAAAAGTTATCCGATTTATCATCACATAATTTCATAGCTGAACAACAAGGTAAATACTTGAAATATGTCAAAAGTAACGGAATTTATAATAATATGTGATTTTTCTGCAAACTTTTCATTTGTTGTACAAGACGCTGTACAAGGATTTCATTGGGCAAACGCACAGTGCACTTTACATCCATTTGCTATTTATTATAGAGATGATCATACCCAAGATTTAATGTTTACTAGTTTCACTGCAATCGCGGAGTTTACCAAGCACAACCATGTTTCAGTTCGATTATTCGTAGTTAATTGTATAAATTTTATCAAGTGTAGGATACCCAGCCTTAAGAAAATTCACTTTTTCTCAGATGGATCAGGAAGTCAAGTCAGTACACAAATAAGATGACAGCATTTAATTTGTGCCACATGAAAAAGGATTTTGGTATAGACGCGGAGTGGAACTTTTTCGCCACATGCCACGGTAAAGGTCCATGTGATGCTTTGGGAGGAGTCTTGAAACGAAATGCTGCTAAGGCAAGTTTGCAGGGGCATCTCATTACAACTGCTAAAGAGCAACATGGGCAATTTCAAAAATCGATTCAAAAATTGTCAAACGCAGATCATTTAGCGATGGAAAGAAAACTTAAAACTTGTCATAATCGTGTCAACCAAATTTCCGGAACACAGTCACATCATAGTTTTCGGCCAGAAAATGAAAATTATATTATTGTGAAACGATTCTCGTTATCAGAAGAAGAACATTCTGTGAAACTTTGAAAGTATCTCTAAGCATGTTTTATGTCTACAAATAAAAAAAATAATAAAAAATAAAAAAACTTAATGAATTTTATTTCAAACCAGCCATGTGCATAGTTAGAAACCATAAGATTGTCTTATCAAAACATTGATTCTAGTCCAGATATGGACTAGATATGGAGTTCCAAACAGTCCGTGAAAGATATACTGCACAAATTTAATATAAATATATTCTATTTGAATTCCTATGCTATGAATCACGGTAGTAATTATTATTTACACCTAACGCAAAAGCAATCAATAAATTTTATGCAAGTTTCTATGAATGTCATGGTAGTCTAGGATCAGAAATTGAAATAAGTAAGTAACCATGCTACATTCGATATGTATCAATGGAGACGCAGGGTAATCTAGTCGTATTGGAGTAATGAGCGAAATTTCTAAACATGATAATTTAAAAAAAATCGCAACTCAAAAACGAAGAAAATCACATCGCTGATTATTTGATATGTTGTGTAGAAAACACTAAATTTAAAAAAAATATATAAAAACGTTTTACGCCCATTGTCTACTAACCATGAAAACCATACAAACAAATACAATCAAAGTTCTTCTACACAAAACTCCAATTTAAAAAATATGTATATTTCTTTCTGAAACGTATTTTTAATAACCTTTCATTTGATATTTTGATCATTCAAATCGGTTCAATGGTTCAAAAGTTATGATTTAAAAATAAAACCATTTTTGGAAAAAATAGAAAAACATCGATTTTTTGGACCACCCTAACAGGAAAGTGGTCACCCTAATGAGAAAATAAAAAAAAACGGGTGCAATATTTTTCGATAAGGAACAAAACTGCGAATTTTCTTATCAATGTGGGAAACAAACGGCATGTAACAGTTCCGAATGAACTTCATTCTCCTCTTTCAGGGGAACAGTTTAATAGGTTCTACAAAGGGTCAACAATTTGTTTACTTCTTCTTTTTGAAATATTCTTCGATCATCATTTTCTAAATGTATGGGTAAAATTCATTGGAAGTGCATGTCCCCACGCCAAAACTGCCCATATTTCATAAATATCAACTGGTATTTATGGTGAGGAAAACTTAACCATCTCTTTTCTTCCTTCATTTCAATACAACAGCAAATGTGATGTCACACTATCTAGTGGATATGAATGTAGCAGATAAAACATTCACATTGCCAGACTGCGCTGTATGCGAGTTTGTTTACACGCCTGAGCGGGACAGTGAATACCAGGCTACGTGCACTGCTGCCATCAACCCTGTTAGTGTTGAATTCAATCTTCTGTGGCTTTTTAAATTGGACCGGTAAAATGCCTAGAATGGTCGTTTTTGTTTTATTTACTAAGTTTCAGATATTTATTCACCATTAAAAACATCCAATCATCTATGTTAATGAGTCAAACTTCGCAATTGCTTGTTTTAATAAACTTAAATTCATTGCTAGAGGTAAAACATCTGGCAACGCTTTTTCGATGATAGTTTTACGGTTTTACGATTGCTGGCAAAGCAGTAAAGTTGAAGCGGTTTTTTTGTGTTCAATTTTGTTCACCACCTGTTAGCAGTTGTTTTGGATTTTGTGTATTCGATTGTGTGTTATTGTGCTAAACTTCCAAGAACACAAGTAAGTAAATACAGTGAATATGTTTTACCAAGAAGTTTTCGTTCTAAAATCATGAAATACAAGTGTTAAATTTTTGTATTAATATTATGTGAATGTATGTGTTAACCAATGATGATTGAAGAATATTTCAAAAAGAAGACGAACATAAATTTACTTACCCTACGGAAGCGGAAGCGGCTTGTTATGCAAATGTCACCAGTACTCTCGTGCTTATCGGCGAGCCAAGCAGAAGTTTTAGTGCAGGATGCGCTTCGTGAAGTTGATCTGCGTAGTTATTTTAAGCCAGTAGGTATACATTATCGGAGAGACTCAATAGGTCAAAATCGATAAAAAAAAAACGTGATACATTATTTGCGTATGTTAGGTCTATGTGCTAGGGTTATCTGTTTGAATATTAATTTTCCTGCAAGTGAGATGCAGCATAATGTATCCTAATTGTCCACACGATGCGTTGGTGTCTTCTGCAAAGCTGTTTTATTGCAAGGAAGCTTACTAAAGGCAACACCTTAAAATTCGGTTTTTTGCCCAAGCGTTCTTTTGAGGTGGACACCAATTTTTGTATGACGTGGCCTCCGGAAAAAAATGTCCGAAAGAATACCATGTGATACAATCATTAGACAAATGTAGGTGAAACATTGGAAATTATACCAAATAATGAGAATGTTGGTCGAGATTAAGCGGACGTTCAATTTTTCAGAGTGACATGTGTGATGATGCCGATGATTTTTGAAAATGTATGTATTATGCATGTATTTACAATCCAACTCCTACTGTCTGGCAGTGGCATTATGGATAAAATCTCCCTGCAATCATGTTTTGTGTCTGAAAGAAGTTTGAATTCGTGAGTTTAAAGGTGACAGCTGTACCGCAATTCCAATAGCCCATTTCAGGAACCTTTTTTTCTTATTTGTAACATCCTTGGCTATCATTTCGAGGGTAAGCCCCAGGGTTCCAGAAAAACTGTTATTTTGGTCCACCCTAATCAGTATCTAATCGGAATTATCATCGGTATCGATCGTTGAAGTTTTTCGGAGGGAGAATATGCTTTAGATATAACGCATATAGGTACATGTATTAATGCTAATGAATTACAAGAAATTTAAGTGGATTTTGATTAACTGGTAAATGATAGCATCGTTAATAATAAACCAAATGATAAATTTCCATAAACACGCAATGTTTACTGTATAAATATATAAATAATATAACATTTGAAAGTAAATACGGATAGTTATAAAAATGATTCAAAATGTCACATAGAAAAGTGAAACTGTGCTCAACCAAACTTTGGTCCCAAAAATTTAAAGTTGTTAACAAAAGAATTATATGTTGACATGAGAGCCGCTAAAGAAATAATGTTGTTTCCACATGATTCCGCATGACACGCACACGAATAATCGATCAAATGGTAGCATTCAATGCAACAATATGCAAAGGTGACAATCAAGAAACGACTCACGCAGAGGGTTGACAACATCAGCAATTTTTTTGAGCAGACCAATCTCATTTAGGCAATGAAAAATGAAAATGCCCCACAACATGATGTTAAGGGGTGTGTTCGAACGCAGCGTTGAAAATCTGAAATCAAAGGAGAAAATAAATCACTCACACACTCATAATATTTCCTAGAAATTCACCACACCTACAGTATCAACCAGTAGAGATAAGAAATGTACTTAAAGATAAGCGATGAGAGAAATATACAGGAGTTGAAAACGTACAGTTGGAGAGTGCACACGCATCTCTGTTCGCGTCAGTGAGTCCGTACTTTTATCACGTCGGTAGATTGCATGGTGATCGTGGATAGCTTCACCGGTCTGAATTCGGTCCATCTCCATCCTTGGGACTCCGGACAATTGGTGAACGGAGACACGCCAAGCGAGCATTGGGCTCGTACAGGGTGTTCTAGGAAAACATTTAGCATTATCTTCTACCACTTTACAGAAATCACATAATATATACATTTGGGAATACTTTAATTCTTATCCCATGGGAAGTTAGTCTAACACAGATAACGTTAGATGACAGACTTTTGCATTTAAAAAAAATTAGCACATACTCGATATCAAGCTTCCCCAATCAAACCTAGAACCATCAGGATTTTTTCTCGTTTTGGACCACTGTGTAACGGTTTAAAGCTTTTTTATATTATAATTTATTATTGCAGTGTTACCACCAGCACATCTGAACAATGTATCAACAACTTCTCCAACCCGGTTAACATCAGCTACTGCAACATAACAATGTTGGATCCGCATTACTTTGGGCATAACTATCACGTAACATCGCTGGACATGAGCTTCAACCAGATGTTCGATTTCCCCCCGGATGGATCTCCGTTTCTGTTTCATTCGGATCTACGGCATTACTACTGCAAGTTTTGTGGCATAACGGCCATCTACGAGATGACCTTTTCCAAACTGAACCAACTTGAGCTGCTCAACCTTCGAGGGAATCGGATCAAGACTATTCCGGTAACTGCGTTCAACTACAATCGGATTAATTATCTATACCTAGCCTACAATCAAATCCAATCATTCAACAAAATGCACGAGCTTGAAACTATGCAACATTTGGTTAAGTTGGACCTAAGTGGGAATGAAGGATTCCAGCTCTATAATTTAACGATCGATTTCAGTGCCTTGGAGCGTGTAATTTGTGAGAGGTGTGAATTGAATTCTTTAAGCCAGAAATGGTTCGAACAAGTGAAACGGTTAAAGAAGCTGAATCTGGAGAATAACTTAATATACGAAGTTCCCAAAATGTGTTTTTCCAAAAATCACAGGCTAAATTACATAAATCTTAGTGGAAATCGAATCAAATCGTTAGACATCGTAAACGATCGTTTAGAAGTTTTAATATGTAACAATTGTGGCGTGGAAGAAGTGCGTGAAGTTTCATTTCAAGGTATGCCTAATTTAAATGTTTTGGAGCTAAATCATAATCAAATTACGAACGTGGAGCCAACTGCCTTCACTTCGAATGAGTTACTAAAACATCTTAGCTTGGATCATAACAATCTTACTGACTTTCCGTACAATGTCTTAAGAACATCACAGTCTCTTGAATCGCTCTGCCTTGATTATAACCCGTTTTATCCTCAAAAAGAGAACTGTTTCAAAAACCTCTACAAGGCAATGAATCTTCGAAAGAATTGTTCTTCAGGACACAATCCTTTATATCACTTTGAAAATTTCATCCCTGATGTTGCTCCAGCAGGATTATTTTTGTACACAAAAGATTTTCCCTCGTGCCATGAAGCAGTGGATATTTCCTCCCGGAACGTCGTATTTATCCATCCAATGGCATACGAAAACTGTTCCCAATTCAGAATTCTTCAAATGGACAAAAACTTTAACTTTACATTCCCCAAACATCGTCCCTTTCTGTATAGTGAATTTCTTGAAAGTTACTCATGCTGTCAGTGCGCAATCGATGCTCTCTATCCGGAAACCTTCACGAAACTTCCTCGTTTGAAATCTATTCTACTAAAGTACAATCATCTCCACAGAATCACTTCCCTGGACATCCTCACCTCGCTCCACAGCCTTCAGTCCGTAGATCTCACCCATAATCTGCTTGAGCTGCTTCCTGTGGAGCTTCTTTCCTCCCACAAATTGCTTGCAAACATCGATCTTAGCAACAACCAGGATCTTTGGCACCGATGGAATCTGCCCATCCTTGAGCAACCCTCAGCAACCAGACTACACGCGCTCCACTGTGGGATCAATAAAATTACACAAGCTACCTTCAGCCTTATGCCATCACTAGAAGAACTGGACATCTCTTATAATCCCATTGAAATAATCGATTCCCGTGCCTTCGAGAAGCATAGTAGACTACGAATTCTGTACCTTAAATGCACGCATTTGCGCGTTATGCCATTCGAAGTCATTGCACCTCTTGTACAATTGAAGCGATTTTGCTTGCATGGTTCTGATTTGTACGACATTGAGGAAGATAGATTCAAGGAAAATAATGCAAGACTTGGAGCATCGATCCGGAAGCGAAAATTGTACTGCGCAGAAGATGAAATTTTTTTGGAACGATTGAGCGAAACGGCTTACAGTAATGGATCTGCGAGGCTTGAACGAGGTGTGGCGCTGTCAGATGTGGTAATTTCATATATTATCAGTAGGTTAGTTCTACATAGTAGATATGTATTATTCAGGGTTACTTCCACTCACTTGCTATAAAAAAATGTTTTTCGGAATTATGTAATCATGAAATAGTGTAATGCTAATTAGTACTTGTAAGTTACAAGAAGAGGTCATGAAGTATATGTTTGACCCATTAAATCTGTCAATATTGCTTTCAGTGCGTCACAATCAGCGATTTTACGACTCGTGAGTGCTCACTCTGAGTGAACGCTCACGAATAATAAGATCGTTGATTGTGACGCTCTCAAAGCGAAATTGACAGATTTTATGAGTCAAACACATACTTTACACTCTTTGTTTGTTACTTACAAGTGCAACATCTAATGATTGCATAATTCCGAAAAATATTTTTTTATAGCAAGTGAGTGGAAGCAACCCTGTGTATAAACAGAGTTATGTACAAACGCGTGCCTACCTATGATCAACGGATCATGGCATTGATGCAGAATTATCAATACAGCTGGTAGCAACATCGATCCGCTAGCAACATACCAACCATGGAGCCAACCCCAGACAACCAGAAGTCGTATAACAATGTACATACAGTTTAAGCCAACATCGCATATAAGAATGACATACATCGTATTAAGTTTAAGTTAAATTGTTGAGAATGTAAATTTCCGACTTATTTACAGTGAATCATTTTTCCGTCGAACTGTATCACAAATTAAATCGGATTACAATCGTAAGATTTTTCAAATTAAATTTGTTATTACAGATTAAATCGTATATAATGTTAAATCAACTCGTTTGAACAGAAATTAAAATTGGCGCGTATATGGCCTCCACTTTTGTACGTATAAGCCATTTTTTTGCATTCTATACGATTTGTTTGTTTGTATATGTGTTTGTAAATCACAGAACAACGTTGAACATACGTGCATTCTGGCTATCTGGGACCGCATAACGACGTGGTTCTCCTGACTCATCAAGATAACACGACGGGCACAGTTCTCCTGACTCATCAAGATAACACGATGGACACAGTTCTCCTGACTCAACGTCGTAGACATGCTTAAGGCGATTACTCACTTTTTCTCTAACCTAGGGAAACCGTCCTTTCTCGTAATGGACCAAGAAGCTTCATTTACGTCTACAACTTTCAAAGAATTTTTCGAAGAAAACAATGTGGAATACCGTTACACAAGTGTTGGACAATCCTTTTCTAATGGAGCTATAGAAACTTTTCTCAGAACATTGAGAGGATTGCACAACATTTTGTCCAACAAAGAATCCACAAAAGATCTAGCAGACACAACAAAAATTAACCTAGCAGTTTCAATTTATAATGACTTCATTCATCCCCGGAGACGAACCAGCGTTCGGCTGAAAGTCTTCTTAATAAAGATAACTAACTAACTAACTTTATTCATTCTCAAACTGGTTTGACACCTAAAGAATTATTTTTTTGGATTCAAAAATGAAGATTACATACCGGACGATCTCATCGAAAAAATCAGTTAAAAAGAAGGATTATTCAAAATATTTGCTGCTCCTAAAAGATTAGGACAAAATTAACCAAAACATTTTGTCGAGCACGATACGGTATACGAAAGAAAACGCAATAACTTGAAACACCAATAAAGATACAAAGAAAACAAAGTCGTATACAATAAAGAAACAAACATCATAGAACGGAAGGAAAGTTCACAAAACGAAATTTAAGTGAACAGGAAAACACGATAAACATACAAGATACTAATACCATTTAACTTTCTTTTCAGGGTAAAATAGCACGAATGATATACACATTACCCTTTTTACCATTCCTTTTATCTTAATATCCACATCCAATGCATTATTTTACCTGGAGATAACCGACTTGAATAATAACCCGGGCATATTTGCTATCAAAATTGGAAAAGTATTTATTAAACAATTTTACCATAAATTAATCCATGAATTTAAGCTACATCCATTTCAGAAGAAATAATAAGAATTCTTAGAAAAAAGCATAATTCGCAAAATTTAACCTCAAAACGCAAGCAGAAAATAAGCATTAACATTATAGGAACTGTAGTCAAATCTATTACCGGTAACTTTGATAATCAGGATCTTCTATCGCTGAATTATCAAATTGACTCTCTAAAAAATCAAATAATATGATGATCACAGAAAACAATGAACAAATTAAACTCAATAATCTTTTTGATAAAATAATTAATAATTTGAAAAATGAAACTTACAGACAGTCAGTAGACGTTAGCAGATGTATCAAACAAGGAATATTAAATTTAGATATACCAGTCGATTGGCAATACATGCTGCACCTACACGACATCATCTTCAACCTGGACACCATCCGCTACCAATTGGACTCTATATTCGAAGCTATTGAATTATCCCAACTTGGAGTAATTTCAACGACACTGTTGTATCCCACAGAATTAGAGTTGGCAACGCAAATGTTGAGATCGCAGGGAATTGAAACCACCAGCTACGATCAGACGTATGAATATCTGGAATTGGCAGCACTTCATAATGACTATATTCTTAATCAAAATACCAAAGCTGAGGAACGGCAGTTAGCAATTTCTTCGGATCGAACCCATACCCATACCATAATTAGCGAGGACGAATCATTCCTATCAGATGAAAAATGCAATCAAATCGAAAACACTTTTTTGTGTAACACCAAAAATCTGGTCAACGTACCCTGTAACCAATGTTACCAGCAGCTACTTCGTGGTAATCCAAACAGATGCGTGTTCATCAGTGACCCAAGTTCTTCCGAGACTAAAATCATCGAGAACAACGGCATCTTGTTGAAAAACGCCATCATCCCAGTACATCTTCAAAACACTTATGGATGGACCAAAGAATCTGACTGGACTGTTCTTCATAACATTCAACAACTGTTCAGTTAGTATTGGAAATACCCGCAACGATAGCAAGGTGACGTTCTTCCGTTACACTTCGTCACTGTTAACAAAACTGATGTCATCGTGAAACCGATGGAGGAGCTACATGACCTACAAGCAAACAACCGTCACAGGATAAACCATCTAGAAATCATCAACCAAAAAGACAGCCTGGTGAATATAGGAAGCATTATCATTATGGCCACGTTAGCTACAGCCATTTTCTCATACCTTATCAGAGAAATATGGAGGATTCGAAATGTCATGCGAATTCAACAACCAAATTTCATGCGAATTCATCGCAGTAAGTAGAACCCGGACGTTTCTATCTAAGAAGGGGGAAGTTATGTTCAAACGCTTGCTCTGCCTATAATCAACCGATCATGGCATAGATGCAGAATCATCAATACAGCTGGCAGCAACATCGACGCGCTAGCAACATACGAACCAGAACGGACGAAGTTCTCCTGACCTAACATGATGTATGTAGTTGAATGTTCGCTAGATATGTGGCCCCTGCCTTTCGAAAGTAGCATCTAAATCGAAACGCTGTTGATGTGATTGATCATCTCAGTCCGTTGGTGCCAGGATTACCTGCTCGCTCTCTCTCTCCTAACAATGGTCTTGCTTTGTAGCTGCGCCTTTACCAACTGAGCTAAAGGAGGGATGTCTATAAGAACGCATAATATGGATTTACATCCATTCTTCTCAAAAATAAAAGAAGCGCTGCTATCGAATCCATGTTGTCTATCTTCATGCGTAAGCCAAAGCGAATGCAATGTGTTTGGACGGAATTGTATGACGGAATTGTGTGACGGAATTGGAATCAAGAAACAGTGTTAGACAATATATCAAAAATGTGTGACTTTCTATCAAATGTATGTGTGTAAGGTAGCCACCATCCTTTCAAGACTTGTCTTGTATGCAGCTCCACTTAATAGAAAGATCAATTTGAGCTACCGATCTGAATTCACTATATCGCTGTATGAAGGGCCAAAAACCGGAGGGGTGGACCCGTAAGCAGAGACACTTACGCGAAATCCACGGGAATTTAAGAATCTCCTTCCAACGATACGCTCCAACAAATCGAATAACACAATTCGCAATACTTATTAAGCTTCCTACTGGATGGTTTGTTAAGAAGGGCGCGTCAATCGTCCTGAAACTGTTGGAGTAGAATTCACACCACCACAATCGAATCGGTAGGATAAAGAAAATGATAGTGTTTATTCCCTCCTAGACTCCGGCTGTCAATCATACCATCGTCCAGTTTGAGTTTGAATGATACCCTGATGCTCCCTCCCAACCCAGTATTTATTTATATAATGAAAATATATGCAATGGAGAAATGAAATATATCAGAACACTAAAATATGACATAATGAAATACATTTATATAGATAATATAGTTGCTACTGCAATGAAGAAGTATTTTACATATAATAAGATGCAACTCTATACCTTCCAGCTCACAATGACAGGCCTGAAATGTAGACACTAAGATTTTTTCGGTAATCCTTTCGGTATTTTTTAAATTTACAATCCGTTCTGTAAATTTTCTTCGCTTTACTGACCTGGACTATAAATTTTACTGAAAGATCGGTAAAGTTTACCATAGCGTTCAGTATAATTTTTACCGAATCGACTGTTCTTATTTTCAGAATAAATAATAAACATTGTAATTTTTATTGATTGATAAACTGTTTTTTTCTTTCACCAAACAAAAAGATTCATTCCTTACAACCATATATTTTTTTTGGAAGATGCATTTCATCTTGCGTTTGTACAGAAAATTATAAAAAAAAAAAATCAGTAAAGAACCCGGACGAGGTTATCAACTAAGTAGTGAACCGTTCTAAAATGCAGTTTCTGCGGTAGAGGAAGACATTGAGGTGCATAACGTCCATGGCGTCTGAAAGAAATTGACCCAGAAATGAAAAACTAATTATATTTTCGGCATAAATTGCACAGAATCTAGCGAAAAGTAAAGTACTTACGCTTCACAACGTAGAACCGAAGGACACTCAACATCGAAATGGCAGCCAATATTGAGTTTGACAGAACGAAAATCTGTTCAGTAACTTTTACAGAATTCGGTACTTTATAGCTGTTTGATTTTGTAAAAGATTATTTCTACAGTATACTCGTCACAATTTTTACAGAATTGCGAAATCGCAGCCTTTTACAGTTTCGATCCGCAAATTTTATTTACAATTTTCGGTAAATGTATGTAAATTACGGAAATTCAACAGTTCAGATTCCGGAAAATTTGTAAAATAATATGTTTTACAAAGCATTCGGTAAAAATTACATTTTGCCGAACAAATCCAGCAAAAAAGTACCGAACAAGATTTAAGAAATTTGGTGTGTACACGTATAAACGTCCGGAAGGCAGAGTGCCAGCGCTAATCCAGCCAATGCAGCCGAAAAATAGCATAAAAGAAACAGCGTAAGATTGAATTAAAATCACTTACCATAATTCCTCGTAATCCTAATAGTCCAGTAAACGTAACTTACCCTAGATACACAATTCGCTTCCATTCCATACATTCATTCTCACGTTTTTCACTTTCCCATACAGAAAACTCGCAGTCATACAATCACACAGAATGCCTTATAGAGATCTCCAAGCGCGATCTCACGAACACTAAAATCCAACATCCATACATAAAAATAAAGAAGAAGAAGAAACAAAAAGCTATCGCGATATCACAACTACTTAAAAAGGTAGCGCGCGGTCTCACGCACACTTTTGTGCATCTGGAGAACTCTATATCTGTATTCCTAAGCTCCAGCCTAGATAAGTTGGTTCCACTGAGAGTGTTCTCTTTGTCTGTACTTCCCCTCTCGTTATCTCGGCCCTCTCCGCACCAGAATCTCTACGCAGCGCAAGCACCACTAGAACCATTCGAACACTGCTAGCCGTGTGTACACTCAAAGATAAATTAAATCACAAAAGCTTAAAAAGTATTCAGATTCCCGCTTCACCTTATTGAGTCCGAGCCATGATTACTTCGGCAGAAGTCATGCATGATTAAAATCGAAATAATCTTCACAGTATTTAATTTTAGTATTTTTCAATATTGATTTACAATCAAAAGAGATTAAAACTCAATCAAAAATTATTAAAATAGAATCAAAAATTATTAAAATTTATACAAAAAAAGATATTCTACATTCTAATACACCATGATTAAACTGGGATTAATGTCATATGCTTATATTTTAGAAAGAGAGGATTAATTTTTAATCATTCGATATGATTAAACTGTGTTTAATGTCAAATTGATCAAATTTCAAGCAAAATGGGAATAGTTCAATTTATCAGTGTACGTTCGTAGAAATTGATTCACATTTCTCGCTCTTTTTTTTTTTTTACTCTCTTTTTTACCACTGCACACGCCAAATAACAGCGCCTTCATAAGTAACCATGGATCAATCACACTACCACTGTGAGCATATTTTTCTTTTCTGTGTTATTCTTACTATTTCGACCCTCCTCGCACTACGGAAACTTCTTGGCCTGAGCACTATTTTCTGTATTGGTGGAAACGATTTTTTCGTTCATTCGCTTCCTCCACATAAATTGAACTATTCCCATTTTGCTTGAAATTTGATCAATTTGACATTAAACACAGTTTAATCATATCGAATGATTAAAAATTAATCCTCTCTTTCTAAAATATAAGCATATGACATTAATCCCAGTTTAATCATGGTGTATTAGAATGAAGAATATCTTTTTTTGAATAAATTTTAATAATTTTTGATTCTATTTTAATAATTTTTGATTGAATTTTAATCTCTTTTGATTATAAATCAGTATTGAAAAATACTAAAATTAAATACTGGAAAGATTATTTCGATTTTAATCATGCATGACTACTGCCGAAGTAATCATGGCTCGGACTCAATAAGGTGAAGCGGGAATCTGCATACTTTTTAAGCTTTTGTGATTTAATTTATCTTTGAGTGTAGATATTACACTCTCTATTCGTGTGTGTGCGTATGAACGTTGTGAATCACTCACTCCTTTTTTTCCTATTTTCCCCTCCTTTGAGAGAATTCTATAGCCGTCAAAATGGCGCCCAAAAAAATTTAGAAAATTTCACCAATTTGTAACAAAATAAACACTTCACAGGTTATCCACTGCTGCCTTCTTCCGTCAAGATGGAAATTTTGCCTCCCTACATATTCTTTGAGCCACTGGGTCGCACCAGCCAGAGACCTCACAAAAAAGAAAAAACGTGCATAAGTACGCTCGTTTCCGCACTGTGCACTTTTATTTTTTCAATTACTGGCCGTGAATTTAATTTCTTCCTCGCTGTGATAGCAAGACGCTTCCACTTCTTCTGCAAATAAAATTTTGCCAATTTTCACCAAATAGCACTGTTTTTACCAGGGGGTAAGTCACTCTGCCACCTTGTGACTGTGCTGATTGTGTTTCTTGTGTGTTTTGGGTGTTTCAGTGTGTTTCTGTGTCAAATGAGCTGTCAAAACGTCAAGCGGCAACATACAATGTTTACTGGCAACCATGACTTCCACATCGCTGAAAATGACAGATCCCTCTGCGATCGCCGTTGTTTATTGGCGTTGACGGTGACTGTATACAGCTATAGCTCTTTACTCCTATGGTAAAATCCTGTAAAATCCAATAAGCAAACGACAGTCTATGCGTGATACATGGCGGAATTGATGCACATCTTCGCACCGGACCAGATCGTGGCCAAGTCCCGTTTCTGGTACTTCTGCGGCAGCTGCGTAAGTTCAAGAAGGCCACCGGGGAGATTGTCTCGGAGAAAACTCCGCTGCGCGTGAAGAACTTCGGTTTTTACTTGATTGAACCCGCCGAAATCGTAATTTTCAAGAGATATTTCCCGTTGCGTTCGCGTTGCTCGACTACCAGACACCGAATGTGTGACTTTTTATAAAATCTAACTAAAAAAAGGAATAAATGAATTTCAAAGTCATTTTCGAAAAAAACGTTAAATTTATGTTCAAACTCGTTCGAAAAATATATACCTGTTCGTGCAGGCGACTGCTACTGCCTCTACCCTTAACATAAAGTAACTACTGTATCTACCCATAGATGTCACTACTTGTCCCCGTATCATTGTCATTGCTTTTGTAGTTTCCTTGTTATGTTACAATAAATAAACGTTTATAGTTCTCATACCTCCGCCATGGCAGGACGGTCAAATAATCTTTCTCGTTTCAATATCTCCTTTTATCACACAACGTAAAAGTCGGACCCTATCCGTGCGCGATCAATACCTACTAGGGGAAATGGATGTAATGTCGGCTTAAATGCCTCTAATTTGGGCCCATACATAAATTCAGTAATCGACTAAATTTTCAAAAGCGACCAAAAATATCCATAAGTACCGTCCCAATGACGCGTTCATCTAGATAAAATTGATAAATAGCAGATTTTCCATAGACCAACATTTCCCTTGTATAATTTTATTATCTACGGTTTTGAGCATGTCGTAAATCTTCTTGATAGCTCGACACTAAAACTTATTTATTTATTTAAAAATCTATACAAGTATTTGATTATAATCTTTAAAAAATAATACCTTTTAAAATGTTTGCTATTTTATTCCAACTAAATCATTATAATACAAAATAAATAACTATACACAACGAAAACACAACACAAAATATTACTCTAAGCAGCAGTATGTCTTAAGATCCCTAATCCCCACGAGTATCACTGGTTGCAAGTCACGTATTTTCAACCGCAGAAGATGAACATTCGCCGTTTGCTGCGCTTCTTATCCGGCAGAACACAAGCCCCATCCGGTGACCAATTAGATCCCTGCTTCTGGAACTTGGCACGATCGCACTGAAAGTGAATTAAAATTAAGACAATGCTTAGTTTCCTCCAACAATAAAACTTCCACTTGACACAGATATTCAAACTTTCACTAATCTTGAACGTGAAACCGCTTATCAGCATACGTGCGGTTGTGATGCCACCTTTGATCGAATCATATCATCGAACGGGCGTATCTCTCAATCACACATCCATTACATCCAATCGACAGGTAGGTATCTCTCAATCACACATCCATTACTCACATAATTCAACTCTCCTATCTTGAACTTTTTGAGCAACTCCATCGCTGCCCCAGAATGTCCAAAGTCGTCGAAATCCTTCGTTCCGTCTCGGCCGGCGTAGTCGGTGATCAGTTCTGGTCCACCGGGATGCTCATCCAGATAATCCGTCATATCGTACACCATATCGCGAATGATGATCCACGTGGGATTTCCATTCTTACCGTCGCGGAGCGCCACTTCTTGGCGGGTAAATTCCTTAGTAGCAGCCATGATGATTAACAATTCGTCAGTTGTGGTTAGCTGGAAATTCAACTATGGAATGTAATTCCTCCTTCTGGGTTTCAATTGTTTATATATCAAGCAAATCCCACTCTTTATTACGTAGGAGATGTGGGTGATGCTTTGCGCGCGAACCGCGTCTGTCTGTGGGCCATAAAAAATTAAGGATGGCTCGCCGTGTCGTCACGAATGCTTGACGCTGATGAGTGGCTAGACGAGTACGTGCAGTTGTCAAAGGAAGAAATCGCGCTGCATTAAGTGAAGTGATTTCCGCAATCAATTGGAGATAATCTATATAGCAGAGAGTGGTAAGTGGCTACCGAAAAAGGTTTCGTTGAGTTTGTAAGTAATTGTCAGTCAACTGATTGTGAATTAGATAAGGATAAAATGATGCACTAAAAGAGATAATATTATTTAGATCGAACCAGTTTAAACTACTTAAAGGTCAAAAACTTAACAACGATGACAACTTATCAACAATACTGGCCACACCCAAGTCATCTCATACAAACACTAAGAAACAGACACAATACCGCTCAAGGGTCAAATCTCCGAAAGAATATGAAAGCTAAGCTAGAAAAGTTAGATGCACAACGATTGGCAATCATTGTGCATCTAACTTTTCTAGCCAAAGTTGGCTCCCATGGAGAATAGAAGAACTATAAAAGTGATGATGATTTCAAAATTTTCCGCGGATAATCCAGTAATACCAGTGCAGTCAGAGTTGGTTTTGTAATGCTATCTAAAATGAAGCTTTAGTGCCATAATTTAATAGTCAGAGAATGGTCTTAGAAGAAGGTAGGTAGATAGTTCCGTTAGAGTACGGCAGTATAAACATTTGTAGCCTTTGCTCCATGCTGTAAATATTAAATTAGTTATAAATAAAATTTGCACGAAATAGATCTAATCCATACGCCAAAAACTATGCCAGTAGCGAAACGAAACTAGCTGGTTTACGTTAAAATTGGAATGCCTCGCGAGTAACGCCAATCGAACTTGCGTAGTGTCTCCCAACCCGCATAAATGCGAACCATAAATTGACCTTACCGATAATGGTTATAAATTGTTTATATTCCCTCCTAAACTTTAACTGAAATGGTTTTGGAACCTTACATGAACGTTTGTGTGATAAAGTTTTAACCTTATGTATTATGGTTTTTAGGAAGCGGACCTTACAAATAATGGGTCGTTAAGAACCATTACCATTCCAAATTCTTGTTTTCTCCATACATTTTCGGAAAGAGAACTATATTAGAACGTTTTTACTTATGGTTTGTAAACATTAATGATTATGGTTATGGTAGTCAGTAAGGTCCATTAATCGTTTTGTATTATCGCTCAACTTTACGTGGAATATATCGCGAACTGATAATTATTAATTTACAGGCAACCAATTCGCGATATATTCCACATAAAGTTGATCGATGTTACAAAACCATTCATGGGCCTTACTGACTACCATAACCATAACGATAACCATTAATGTTCTCAAACCATAAGTAAAAACGTTCTAATATAGTTCTCTTTCCGAAAATGTATGGAGAAAACAAGAATTTGAAATGGTAATGGTTCTTAACAACCCATTATTTGTAAGGTCCGCATCCTAAAAACCATAATACATAAGGTTAAAACTTTATCACACAAACGTTCATGTAAGGTTCCAAAACCATTTCAGTTAAAGTTAAGGAGGGATTATAAACAATTTATAACCATTATCGGTAAGGTCAATTTATGGTTCGCGTTTATGCGGGAAGGCCGAGTCCAGGGAAACCTTCGAGAAAGTTGGGGAAAGAGAGAGTGTGGCTACACCCGACTTTGAACGAAGGGCCAACGATCAGAATAATCTCTCGCATTACCGATCTCATTCGAAGAAGTTCGCGGGAAAATCGAACTTCCGTTAAGTTCGGCCGAGGTCACCTTCCCTAATCTAAAGGTCACGGTTTCGCTTCACTTTCGTCCGAACCGCAGTTTACAGTGGAAGTGTGTCGTTTTGTTCGCGTTAATGTATAGTTTTGTATAGTGAGTGAAAACAACCTGGTTTTACTTGTACTTAAATTCTAATTTATCGTTGATTGTTTAGTTATAGAAAATCAAGCTAAATGTAGTGTGCGGCATAGGTTAGATTTTGTGTGCATAGAAAAACAATCTAGGCTAGGTAATGTGCTCGTCGAACAACATTTGTGCTTTGTGCTTAATATTAATTTCAACAGCCGACGACTACATCCAACTTCCGACGACATCATCTGCTTTCCCGGGGCGAAAGATCCCGGCAACCGTCACCTTATCCGGTGGAAAGCGATTAAATTTATCATCGCGTATCGGGGCTTGGTGGATACCAACTGCCATTGTTGGTGAGATCACCGTCCACCCACGTGGAAATCGTTGGCCGTCCAACGGTCGAACATCACCGTCGCTGCCGATAACAGCAGCGCAGCAAACAACAGCAGTGAAAACCAACTGGTGAGTCCGTTCCAATTTCTTTGTTGAGTGTGGCGTCCGGCGAGGGCTCCACGGAAGACCTTTTTTGCCGAGCATAAGGTCGAAGAGCATGTTTTGCTAATATGTAGACAAGTCCAATGATTTTATGGTTGGGTGTAGGCATATAAATCGTGCGCACGTATCGTCAGATATGGACGCCCACTAGAGTGATGCAAAATTTTCGCTCCACAATACTTAAACGATTCCAAATCGGATCCTGACTAACCTCTCAAAATTTGAACCCATTTGGTGAGAAACTGAGATGGCACAAACCATTTGAAGTTTGTATGGGAATTACTATGGTAAAACCAAGATTTTTGTTCATGTCTATCTTATAATTCACCACATCGGTCTGCTTCTAAAACATTCACCTGTACTTGTAGGAAATTTTCCCACCTACAACTTTGCTCAAGACCACTTTTTGATTAAATGCAAGGATCGAAAGTTTTCAATGGTTCAATGCGCTGATGTCTTATGATCATGCTCAATCAACTGGTCAGCAGGCAACATTGGTGTTTCTGGGGCGTTGAATGGGACACAAAAATCATGGCTACTATGTCACACTGAAAAATACAGTGTTGCCTACAGAGCAGCTGCTTGATCATGCCATAAGTTAACCAATCTCTTAAATAATTAATAACTTTTTCCTGTCTCGTTTTACATAGAAACAATCTTGAGCAAAGTTGTAGCTGAGAATAATAAAAATGGCTATCGAACTGTTTCGCAGCTCAATATGGAAAAAGAATAGAAGGCAATGAACAAAAAGTTGAGATTTCCCATAGTAATTAACATGTAAACTTCAAATGGCTTGTGCGAAGTCTGTTTCTAACAAAATGAGTTGTAACTTTGGGAGGCTAATCAGAAAAGAGCACAGCACAGATAGGAGGTAGTTGTATCGAACGCACACAAGTATGGGGCTAGAAGTATAGTTAAGTAGAATAAAGAGGAGTAGAAATACAAACAATCACAACAAATTCGCAAAAGCATGCTTTAGTTTAAATACAATAAAAATCAACTTATCGTTTTCCGTTCGTAAATAAATGTTTTGATTTGAAATCGATGTTATGTTGTTGATCAGTCCTATCAAATATTAGTATGAGAGGAAGGAAGTATTTTTACGTTGTTTCGGGTCCGTGTAATTATGTTGTTGTCTTTCGCGTGGTCGGAATTTGACTGTTATGTTGCGTACCTCTTTTGCTGCGGCTGCGCCTCTGGCGGAATTTAAATGAAGCTACCGATGAGGAGAACTTGACGTGGAACGTCGTTTAGGGTTTGTGTATTCTCTTACAGGGAGCTTTTCAGAATTATTTCGATGTTGTGAGAGATTATGCTGTTTTGCAATAGGGGTTTCTACTCAATCAAATTCGTTAGTAGCACAGACAATCAGACATAACACTCGCAAATTGTTCATCGAACAAGCATTTAACGGTAAATTTAAAAATATCGTAGTTGGTAATACCATCACCTGTGGCGCGCATATTCAATTCCCTTGCGTTTGACGTTTACACACTACCGCCATCTGTTCTGCGTACTACCCACCATAGTGTACTCAACAGATGGCGGTAATGTTTTAGTGACGATGTTTTACAGTGAGAAATATTTAATGTGTTATGTCTGTTTGTCTGTGGTAGTAGTCAAGCTGGCTCGATCTCTTCTTTCTATGAAGATTTTCAATTGGACTCGCCCTGAGACAGTCTCATCCGGGCAAACTCAACGTGGCCTGCGGTCTCCTTTGCCGGAGTGGCGCTTAAGCCGCAGGCTTAACATAGATCGGCCAGTGTCGGCTACACATTGAATAGAAGTTGAAAATGAGCGAAGGGCCATTAATACGACAGTGCAAATCAAACGCACACCCTTTGCCTAACCCGTACGATGGACGCATTGTTCTATTGAGTAGCCGTTAAGTTTTCTACTAATTTAATGGATTGTATAAAAATAATGTGTTCTCAAAATAAATACATTTCAAGACTGCAATCGTATACTTCACCGGAGCAAATTTTGAACCCATCATCATTCTCATAGCAGTCCTTCTATTCTCCATCGGCGCCAACTTTAATTTGCCAATACTCTTTCAAAAAGTTCAAATAGGGGAAACGCTCCAGTATTGGCCATGTTCCTTTATTGGCTACCTTTTGACGATATTTCACGTTGTTCACAATTTTGAGATGTTCAGTTTCTTTCAGTTTTTTGGTATAAATCATATTCATCAGTGTACATAAACATGTCGACCACAAAATGCACGAATATTGTAATATAATCGGTTTTCTTAGGTGTGACCAAAATAGGAACCTATGGCCAATACTGGCGCACTTCCTCTATTAAGACAGCATAATCAGCATAACTCAGAGGTTCTAATTTGTATTTATACACGGCGAATGAGAACAACCCAAATTTGAGTTTAGTTCACTCATAATCGCCCAAAGTGCAGGAACTCAGCGATGAGTAAATTTGCATCATGGTTTCCTGTGGAAAACCTAAAACATCTGCCGGAAAATGAGGAAATTGACGAACAATTTATTCAG